TTCAATAGATAATGTGATAAGAATAATACATTTTCTAATTTCTACAAACTCTCTTGCTATTTTGGAATACAAACAATTACGATCTCTAATTCAAAGTTGTCTAATCGTTCAGCCTTCAATAAAAACTCACTAGAAAATAAAAGTGAGAGAATTAGAGTTTTGTGCTAGCAAGATAATAATTGTATTGTATTTTGTTTCCCAAACCCTATCAGCTTATTATCTCGTTATTACTTATGATTATGGATGATTTAAAATTCAGTTTTATGTAATTTGTATCTCACAATCACGACTCCTTGTGATTATTTAATTTATTAGAATGGTAATTCAATAAAATGCACTAATTATATTAAAAGTGTTTACGTACAAGATTGATTGGATCTATGACATAACATAAACAAAGTGAACTAAGTATAACCCACATATTTGTTACATCCACCTCTAGTGATTTTTATTTTTATTTTTTAATGGGAAAGGGGTGGGGGTGGGGTTTGTTACCGTGGGAAATATTATTGTTCTTGAACCCAAAATAGTTTATTCTTTTCAATGTATTTGATATGTCTAATGCTTTGTTTATTTTCAGAATAAATGGATGGAACTATTTCCTTCCATTATTTCAAGAGCAAAAACACTTCAAGTTGTACATTCCGGTGTTTCTGGACATTCCACTGGTTCACTTCATTTGGTGAGTACTTTCTCCATCAAATCTTGTTCATTTTTGAATATTTCTTTTTACGATCTCTATATATTTGATCGCTTTTTCTTATCTTATGACATTCACAGATGTATGCAGAATTACAAGTTCTTTCTCCTTTAGTGCCCACAAGAGAGGCTCATTTCCTACGTTACTGCCAACACAATGCAGAAGAAGGAGCCTGGGCAATTGTCGATTTTCCTCTCGACAATTTCCAAACCAGTTATCCACCTTCTTTTCCTTATTACAGACGACGTCCCTCAGGATGCATTATACAAGACATGCCCAACGGTTACTCTAGGGTAAAGCCAATTATTTTTGTAATTTTTCTTAAGAAAATGGTATATGTGGTCAAGTGAAATTTGTAAGAAGACACACACTGACTAATTAAGTTGTTATTCGACTTAATACAGGTAACATGGGTAGAACACGCAGAGGTCGAGGATAGTTCAATTCATCCAATTTTCAACCATTTTGTGAGTAATGGTATGGCATTTGGAGCGCAGCGTTGGCTAGCAGTTTTGCAGCGGCAGTGCCAGAGGTTTGCTAGCTTCATGGCAAGAAATATATCTGATCTTGGAGGTGAAACTACTCGTTTTTCCTATATGCAATGTTGTTGTTGGACTATTGAAGCCTAATTAAATTATACGTTTATCCCGACTGCTAATCAACCAAAGTCTTTTCTGGAATATATTAGGGCATTTGAATATTACTATCGGCCACCGGTAAAAATTTTTGGAGGCCATATTTCAGTTTTAGTCCGGGAAGCGTGAGATTCTAGTGAAAATTTGCATCGACAAATCCTAAGTTTGGCAAGTGTTTATAAACCAAATAACTTCTTATCCCGTATCTCATGGGATCCACAAATACTATTTACTTATCGGTCATTTGTTTCATCTGTTTATAAACACTTGCCGAACATAGTAATACATCATGTGAAATAATGAATACTCTTAATTTATATACAGTGTACAAATAATCATGTTTGTTGGCAATATTCATGGATCTGTGAATAAATAATCCTAAAAATTAAATTGACACATTAATTTATTACCTGTTTTTACAAATGATCATAAATGTTAGCATATTATCAACTGTTTTTATATACATATGAATAACATTTTTATTGTGATTTTTTTCATGTTTCAACACTCAATATTCATTGCTTTCTGCTATATTGACAGTTATCCCATCTCCTGAAGCAAGGAAAAATCTGATGAACTTGGCCCAAAGGATGATAAGGACATTCTGTCTAAACATAAGCACATGTTGTGGGCAATCTTGGACAGCCCTTTCTGATTCTGCTGAGGACACTGTTAGGATAACCACGAGGAAAGTTACAGAACCCGGCCAACCCAACGGCTTAATTCTTGGTGCTGTATCCACTATTTGGTTACCATTTCCACACAACAAAGTATTCGATTTCTTGAGGGATGAACAACGTCGAATTCAGGTATTTTACCTGCATAAACCAATAAATTCTTGGAATATTTACACCCCGTGTTAAAGATTTAACTATCAATTTGGTATGTATTCCACAGTTGGATGTTCTTTCCAATGGGAATTCTTTACATGAGGTTGCTCATATTGCAAATGGTTCTCATCCTGGAAACTCTGTTTCTCTTCTTCGGATCAATGTAAGTTATATAATTTCGAGTTAATCCCCGGGTCGAGTTTAAAATTATTCGTCTCAATATCTTTATATAATGCTGGCAGGTTGCTAGCAACTCATCTCAGAATGTAGAACTGATGCTTCAAGAGAGCTGCACAGATGATTCTGGTAGTATAGTAGTGTACACCACCATTGACGTTGACTCAATCCAGCTAGCAATGAACGGTGAAGATCCGTCCTGTATTCCCCTTCTCCCCTTGGGATTCATCATATCTCCCATGGGACACGCCATTAATGACTCCAGCATCACCAGCGAAGACACAGAAAACGGGAACCTGCAGCCAGATTCCGGTTGCCTACTCACCGTTGGACTCCAAGTTCTGGCAAGCACAATCCCGACTGCAAAACTCAATCTTTCGAGTGTCACTGCCATTAATCATCATATGTGCAACACAATTCAGCAAATCAGTTCTGCACTTAGTTCTGGCAATGGAAACGGCAACTGCCCAAATAATAACGGCAACTTCTTCTCGACTTCTGTGGAGCCACAGAACGCAGAACCAGTATCTCCAACAAAGCAAAATCGTGTCTCCATGTCCTAGTTCTGCAGGGTTATAGTCTTCTAGTAAATTAACGAAGAGACAATGCTGTAATGAAGTAGTGTTTTGTTTGGTTGGAATTGTGGATTTAGGAAGTCAAGAGCGCACCAATTGTGTTCATGGCTACCTGGTAAGGCTAGACTTCTGCAGTTTCTTACCAGATAGCAATGGTGGTGGTTCGGGTATTGACTTCTTTTGCTCGTTATCGCTCCTCTTTGATTCCTTTTGAATGAAATGGACTATTGTCATTTTATTTGTGCGATAAAACTTTGGAAGAATTACAAATCAAACTTCAAATTTTAACAATATATTTCGTGAAATTTACAATTTTTATCAACTTTTCAATTACATATTTTATTAACTTTTAGCAACATGCGCTAAAACTTTTACTAATTATTTTAAGCCACTAAAATGAATTTAGAAACTCCTTAAATTTTAATCGAACGTGAAGGTGGATGACACGTCAATAAATTTAACATAAGTTTTCGTAATTTTTATAGAATGCTAAGGTCGAGAAATAATTTCACTAACGAAAAATTCTATTCGAACCGATTTGAGTTAGAAAATCTACTAAAAATTGAAATTTCAACCATATTGAGAAATTCTATATCATCACCATCATCATCCAACACAAACTAATCATCTCCAATTGGAATTTTGTCAAAAAATGTTGATAGAATTTTTGCTGGGACGTTCCAAATTTCAAGCTTAACAAATAAAACTCTGTGAGAAAACAACTTGTTAGATACTCAAAAATTTTATATTTTCATAATTTTTCTTACTTTTTGACAATACATTCTCCGGAAAATCACTTCTTAAGAAATCAATCAACTTTATACAAGGGCTAATTGTACTTAATGAATTACAAGTTTCAATACTCAACTCCTTTAATTATCTTTTAGTCACCCTCCGTCCCAATTATATAAACTTGTTTCGTTTTTCACAGAGATTAAGAAATCTTCTTTAATGTCATTGAAGAATTAATTTTTACCAAAATATTTTCTAGTTTATTTCTATTTAATTTTTAGTATTATGTAGTAAATTATTGTTGGAATTAGTAAAGAATTTAAACGATTTAATTTGAAGAATAAGAAATGAGAGTTGTTCCATGTTTTCAAGAAGCGAGAAATGTGTGTATTTGGATGATTTCAAGAAGTTGGCATATTATATGGGAAAAATTAAATAAGGGTATATTGG